CCTCCCTCTCTCTCTCTCCACATCCCCTCTTCGACCGCCTCGATGTCAAGCGGAGGACGCCGACGTGGTGGCCGAGGGGGCCGCGGCGGCTCGCCACCGCACAAGCGAGCCCACCACAACAATGAGACCAGGAGCTTCATCCAACCCACGTGCAACAGAGGAAGACCACGGCCGAGAGGGCCTCGGCGCCTCACTGCCGCACAAGCAAGCCTGCCAGGATGACGAGGCCGGGAGCTCCATCGCCCCCCGATCAAGAATGGCGCCACGTGCAAGCGAGGGAGTGTTGCGCCCTCTCCGACAATGGCGGTGGAAGGGCGTGGAGGGAGTTCAACCGCCTCGACGACATCCTTTGGTCGACCACCAAGCGCTTCCGCAAGGCGAAGCGTGAGCTCGCCAAGGCGAATGATGCAGTCATGGCCGAAGAAGAAGGTGCCGCTGCACAGCTCAAGGCAATAAGGAGTTCGAGCTCGCCTTCGTCCTCTCCAACTCCACAATGGAGTTTCATCTCCATGTCAAGGACTAGAGCAGTTTAGATTAGGTTATATACTATGTTTATGTTTGCGCGATGAACTTTCAGTGAACTATGGTGGCAGGAACTATGTTTATCTACTTCCAGTGAATTATGCAGTATGGTAAGAAGGATCCGCTCTGCCATGCCTTCCACGGTCCGCCAAACCGTTATACAGTAGCCATTAAACAAAATTTGCGGTACCACGGTTTACAAGATCTGCCAGAGATGCACGTGTACCCCATGACAAAAACAAGTATACATCAAGGGCACAAGATAAGCAAGGGATGCTATATTCTCCTGCGAAATGATGGTTGCACTGCAAGATCAATAAATCAACCGGTATACAGGAAAAATAATACTCCCTCCATCCCAAAATATAAGAATGTTTTTCACACTAGCATAATGTCAAAAACGTTCTTATATTTTGGGACGGAGGGAGTACAATACAGCATACAAACAGCACTACAGTCAATCTTCGAGTACCGGCAAGGCATACAGACCTGCACCCTGAAAATTGCACATTGTATGCTCTGGCCTGTATAGCAAGCCACATCTTTGATCCTAAACCCATGGTGATGCTGTAAGCTGGTAGACATATCTCAAGTTGATGAGGCCTCCTTCAGCATTCCATCAGCTCCACTTACACTGCCATTGCCATTTCGAATGAGCTTTTCCTCTGAAGGTAGATTTTTCATTATTTTTCTAGTTGGTCCTGAAGCGTTCCACAAGTACCACACACGTGATTTTGGGGGTGGCACAGCTCCCGATACAGGAGCTACCAATCCAAGTTTGCCCTCATCTACAATGCTGTCAATTATTCCATAATCCTTGGCCTCCCAAGGACTCATGAAACAGTCAAACTTCGTGTCCTCGTCAATCTACAAGAAACAGCAATCAGCACAATGCAGATTCCTGTTGCTGTTGGATAGGCAAAAGCATGGGCAACAAGTTCTGAAGGACTACCTGCTCTTCAGGCTTTCCAGTGATCCTTGACATTATCTTGTTGATCTTTATCTTCTCATAGAGCATTTCTGTTATCTGCAATCCCATCTCTGTGGCCTGCCACATGCGTGAATCAACATATTACACTTTTGAAGAAAGAATGGCTGTGAACTTGCAGATCAGGATCTAAGGAACTTGCATGTGCGTCCAGCAGAAGACCAACCACTAATCTTAGCCAGAAGCAAATTGGATTATAACATGTGCACACTGATCAAGGATAAGAATCAATGTAATGCGTAGTGTATGTTTGTATTGAGCCTCTCCGGCGGTCTATATGGAGTACCAAATGATAAATTTAGGTGCTTCAGGGTGTATTTATCAAGTATATTGCACATCCTACATCTGGGTAGGGTTCTAGTGCATCGTCTTCAAAAAGTAATGCATGGTTATGAAAAACTTCAATTTACTTTCTGGAGACAAGTTTACACTGAAATCTATTTATTTATTTCAATGAGTTTGTACTAACGGAAATGCTATTTGGCGAACGTTCACCAGGAGGCTGATGCTGGCGAACGCCCTTCCTGCCATCTGATCTGGCCGCACGGATCTTGGCGCAAATCTGACACCACGTCAGCTCCCTAAAAGAGTTCGCTGCAACTGCTCTCCTGGCGAATGACCTTTTTTATTTTTTTTCTTCAAAAAAAGTGCAGATCGAACTCATGCCCTCCTACAGTATAGCTACGCGCACTCACTAGTTGGGCTACAGGGTTGCGCTCAAACACCTTTTATGTATTCGAGTTATTTTGTTTTTATATTCATTTTTATTTGAAAAAGAAAAAAAATCCCGAAATTTCCCATTGTTTGAAAGAACAAAAATCCTTATTTTTTAGAGGTGATTTTTCCCCCTAAACTTGCCATGTGCATTTTTATTATATGTAGCATGGCAATTTCCATGTCTTTTTCAATGCAGCCATGAAATTTTTTATTAAGAGCATGGCATTTAATAATTAGTAACATGATATTTTTATGATTAAGAGCATGGCATTTTTATTACTAATAATATGGCAGTTTTCTTATCAACAAGGGGCATATTTATTTTTGAGAGCATGTCATTTTTATTATAAAGAGGATGGCATTTTTTATTTCAAGAGGATGACATTTTTAATGTTGAGAGGATGGCATTTTTTTTATTGCGTGGCAGGTTTCTTTGGGGGCTTATCCAGATAAAATATTTTCTCTAGAGGATGTCAGTTTTATAAAGTAGCACGGCAATTTTCAATATTTATTCTGAGCATGGCATTTTTATAAATTTGTGCATTTTTTTTGTTCATATGGCATTTTTTATATAAAGGATGGCAGTTTTAAAGTTTAGCATGGCCGAAAATATCTAGATCACTCGACATTTTTTTTGTTTCAAAGTTTAACATGGCAATTTAGAAAAAACACTTAAATGGGCCTTATGGGTCTCAGGGTCACCCTGACACCCTACCCTGGCAAACGACCAGAAACGGTCGCTGGGAGCTGCTCCCAGGGCGAACTAATCGTCACTCAATATTAGGGTCAAGTGGGAGTTGCCAACAAAATGGGTCAAAATTGGGTTAAGGTGGTCAAAGAGTATGGTGGGTGGTGTATGCGGAAAGGAAACAAAGATGGCAAAATTTTGATGGGAGTCAAATGGTGGTGGAATCTATCTAGATTGAACGTAGATGGCAATAGCTACGCAACGAGCTAAAGAACACGAAATCGGACTCTGGATGTGAAAGTTA